ACGGTTATCGCAATGTCGTGTGGAGATGTCGCCGTGGTTGGGTTTGTTGGCTGGGCTTGCGACGTGTCGGCGGCTGTATCGTCAGTCATCTCTGATGTCTCAGTGGCCTCGGTGTGGTCCAGATCATCGCTGCCGATGTGTGAGACGCGATGGGCCGTCTGTGGACGCGACCCGTCTCTGGTGCCGCTTGGACTCGGGCTTGGGCTGGGAGCCTGAGCCTTTGGGCTCTGACTGTTTTCTCGCTCATCGTTGGCCATGATGCATTGCGGCGACCGCTATGCGAGGCAGCTGTGGTGTGCTGTGCTGGTGGATTTTGATTGATGCAGATGCGAATGTGGATGGAGATTGTCGGGTATTGAATGGGGATGCTGAATGTTTTGTCTTTCTAGGCATCGCCCGCCATAAGCTCTCACTAAAGAGAAAACCTGACTGCGCTAAAGTCTATCCCTTCAGGGCGCCGTTCAAGGTGTATCTGTTCAGCCAATCATAGTCTGTATCGTCCCCCCTGAGCTGGTTGTTTAGCGGCGGTTGGAGGGGAAATAGCGGGGCTCATCCATGTGGTCGAATTGAAGCTTGGCTTGTTGCTTGGGACAACCTGCCAGCGCTTTATGCATTGGAGTCTTGAATTCAATGACAGCGATACTCGAATTCACAGCAAAGCTCTCGTCATGGATGCAAAGATACGAGGTGATTTACGCTTTTGCTTCAGCCTGAGACAGTAAATTTGCTTTTGATCGTTAGATCGCAGGTTGAAACAAGGGTTTGAGTTGGAGAAGAGAACTAAATTCCTAAGCGAGTAAGCAATTCGTATCGAAGTGAAACAATCCTTCACATTCGTTTATTTTATGGATTGATGATTCGCAGGAGTTTGATCTACGATGCCCCGTGGCAGTGATTCACGTCAACCTTGATGTCACTGTAGACCCATGAAATTGAAGTAATTATGTCATATTTATTCATGCTCACTATTTGAGCTTTCATCATTAAACATTATCCCTCTCTCTAGTTAGAGTACTTGGGGTCGACCTTGTTGCTGGAGTACTGTCAGCCACAGTTCAAGCCACGACGAATGACAAACGCCACTTACCCAGTCTGCTTCTCATACTGGCTGCGGGCAAAGTCGGTGGCCTTCTCCTGGTTGTCGCGGGAGATGTTGAAGCCGCCCTTCTTGTTGAGGAACTCAACACCTATGAATGTCAGTCAGTGATCTGTCAAGGTCCATGAGGTATTTGAGAGGTATTTACCCTTATCAACGTAGTCCTCCTGGTTGTTGGAGTCGGTCTTGGTGTCGGTCTTGGAGGCATCACCAGACTTGGAGGCACCAGACACAGCGTTCTTGATGAAATCCATTGTGAGTTGAGTGTGTTGATTTGGGTTGTAGATGTAAGTGAAGTAGTTTAGTGTGATAAAGAACTCAATCAAGCAGAGACATTCCGTCCTTCTTATACCTCTCAACCCGCAGCTAATAATAACGAACCATTTCCAACTTTGTTCAAGTCTCTTTTACAGAATGGAGAAATAAAACCGGCAGATCCATTAGATCTCACCAAAGTGCCAACATCTGCATGCCCCCCTCTTTCGTCATCTCCCACTTTGCAGGGGTCCAGCCTACGTCACTTCAGACCCTGAGTTACCAAGACCGGTTCCGAATCTCACGGCACGCATTGCCGATACTTATTCTAATTCCGGTATATGACTCTGGGTATTTCATCATGGATGTTTCAAAGACGGAAAGCTTCTTGGATGATTGTCGCGATGCTTTCCTGGTGAGGGGTAGGTAAGTGAACCTTGGTCGAGGCCTTGACGTGAAAGCTGAGCTAGTGACACCGCCGTGCAGAGGGAGCTGAAAAGATAACAGGAGGGCTAATGAGGATCGAGCAAAGCGTCGGGGGTCAAAGGGCCCAGAGCTTCTCTCAGTTAGCTTGAAGATTGAGGGAGCCAAGGGGAGACAAGAAATCTCCTTTATGCTAAGGGATGGAAATACTGAGGTAGTCTGAAGCGAAACCCCGCCGCTCTTGATGTGTCCCTGGCGGATCGCAGGGACATGGTCGATGAGCAGAACGTTCTGACTTGGCATAAGAACTGCCCATCTTTATTTACTGTGAAGCTTCGCAAACTTCATGTCTCTTAACATCTGACACATTAGGAAACCACCAACATCTCAAAGTGTCTCTTAGACTTCTCGGATTGCATGCTAAGGGCTCAAGGCTCGAATCCGGGATCTCAGTCGTGCAAGGAAATACAATTTGCGTTGTCAAAGCTTGCAATAACACTCTCATCTTGTGGTCCTAGATGGCGAGTTTTCACCCAAGACGCACGACCTCTTCGAATTCGCTATCATTGACCGGGTCTTTGGCAAAAACTTGATCAATACCCGGGTGAAGTATTCCTAAGGAAAGCAAACAAAGCAATCGGCAGTGCTCCTTGTAAGACGTCTTAAACTGGCTTCAGGGGCGATCTCGGCCCGCGTCCCACGCTGCATCTCGGAAGTGTACGTGTAAAAGCCTCTCCGGCTGCAGAAGGACTTTAATGGATCGAGAATAGCCTTAATAGTCGGTACTTATAAAAACTGATAAGCACGAAGCAGGTAGCATTACCAACAAAAGCAATAGTCGTTATTTTCTCCGTTCTATCGTACTCTGACATTGAAAGCGTGACACAAGCCGCATGACCTTCCCAAGTGTTCCTTGTTTAGAACCACTCGTAGGATATCGATGGCATTCAACGACCTTTACGTTGAAACGACGCCTTGTACTGGGGTAGTCTGCCACGAGGCACCTGGCCGCGGCAAGGCTGTCGATACATACGATGATTGATGTCGGTGCGAAACTTCCATGGTGTTCAGGGCTGCTTTCAGTGACAGTCCCTCCAGGGCGCCAGTGGCCTCAGCGTCGAAGACCTCTGATCAGGGTAAAGCAGCGACAGCTCAGGCTTGGCGCCAAAAACGGATGTGGAAGGCAAGATTTATCAGGGTTGACTATAGAGGTAAATTTAGTATATTTTAGTAGAGCTTTAGACCAGTTTATTCTGGCACCCTGATTTATCGTCAGAAGTATTATTTCTCCTTGTGGGAAGCCAACTTGTGATGATCCCTTCGAGGTCATTTGATGATATGCCTATGCAGTGCCAATTAATGTTCTCGTCTATACTATTCCAATAGAATGCCTGCGAATGCACCAATGTTCTGTTCCGTTCAATCCAACTCCATCCAATGCAAACAAATATATTGTAACAATCATGTAACTCCAGGCCTCATGCCATGCTTCGTAACTTCATCATTAATCCAATTATCCCCCAGAGTTCTGTATTTCCCTCGTTTGTCGGTTATGAGTTGACAAAGACTTGGTACGCCATGATCATAACCCAGACGAAGAAGACAGTACCAGTAAGAGCCATCGCAAAGACAAGCTGCCATGATTGACCTGCACAAGTTAGCAATGAAACTTGACCTCGAACGTGAGACATAAAGACGTACAGATGTTTCGTTGTTGGAGCCACGCCATCGTCGCCATGCTCGTACCCTTGGGATTCCTTCCAAAGACTTGAACATCGCATACGCTCTGAATAGATCCATCAGGTCCGAATAATTGTATCGCCACGACGACAAGTCCCACGAGCCAGAGTATGAAGAACATGAAACCGCCGACCATCACGATGGCGGGGAGGAGGCGTCGTTGGGCGATGAGCCAGAAGATACCGAGAATAAAAATAATGGAGAGAGAGCCGACGGTGATAAAGTAGGGAAAGTACCTGCAGATATTAACAAACCATCTCTCGATAGGTAGGTATTGCAATGGGGGACGTACCATGGAATTCCAAGCTCAAGTTGAGTCTGGATCTGTATGAATGTCGAGAACACTCCAATGATGCTCGTCGACGCGAGTAGGATAACAAAGATCCAGAAATTCAGTTGCCAAGGAGGCCAGTTGTATGTTCGAACATGTGTAGATGGCGGAGGCCCGTCGTAGGTCATTGATGATCTCGTGAAGCTCGTTCCCGTCCATCCTGTCGTGCCGGTCAAACCGGTGACCGTTGATTTGGCGACCATTTCGTCTGTATCAACCAAGAGTGAATAAGAAGCTCAATATGTCGTCGAGGTCGTCAAGATATAATATAAGTCGTCGAAAGCCCAAGAATCACGCGTCGCTGGTTGTTTCTTCCCGCAATGCCAAAAAAGACTGCCACGTCGCAGAGCAAGCCCCGCCGATCGGCGACCAGTTGATTCCCCGCGTCGCCTTGAAGGGAACCTCAATTCGATTCCCCTCGTGAAGATAGTTTGGATGCCTCAAAATCGAAGCTGCTGCGTTGATGCCTCACGCGCTTAAATCTCTCGTCGAAAGGGGATTTTCGGTGTTTTCTGCGCGTCCAGTTGGATCGGAGCTTTCAGGTGTGGAGATTGTGCTGCGTTGGCTGGGGATCTGACGTCGGGTTGATGTGCCAAGAGGTTCCAATTGAGGCCTCTTATCAGGTATTAATCACACGATAGCGATTATTGTCTTGGTGTTTTTCAATACTCAGGAGGAGAGATAGAAGAAAAGCAAAAGGAAGCAAAAAAGAACAGAAGTCAACAAGACATGGGATGGAAATGGTCCATCCAATTGAGGTCAAGTGTGAAATTACAACAAAGCGTTTTTTGGGTGAGGCTTCGGGTAGAGGGGGTTGGTTGGTGGCTGGGGATGCGACGCAGCAGGGGATGATGACGCTGCGATGGCTTCTGAATGGTTACACGTCAAAAGACAAGACCCGTTTTCCGGCCTTTGAGATGATTTCTTTACGATTGATCAGAAGATCGGAGAAATTGTTTGTTACGTTTCAGTACCGAACGTGCCGATGGTTTCGTCAAGTCCCGAGGAAAGAAAGACATTTTATTTCGAGAGTGATCTCGCAGCGCAGCCAGCGCTTGTATGTTATGTACCTAATGCATATGCACCGACCCAATTCCATTCATTCAACTCAAGGATATCATCAATCATCTCACAAACACCTCCCCTAATTTACATTTACAAAAGAGTCTCGCCAAGAGCACACCGCACCAGTGAGCATCCAGCGTGGATTGTGTTCTGCTCAGCTTGCTTACCATCTGCAAGCTGAGGGTTCACCTCGACGAGATCAATGGCGACAAGGTTTCCTGTCTCGTGTACGCTCTCGCAGATGAAATCTCCTTCGCGGAGAGTCAGACCGCCGCGGACGGGTGTGCCGGTGCTGGGTGCCCACATGGGGTCGAGGGCATCGACGTCAAAGGATAGATGGATGGGGGTGTCGTTTCCGATGTGAGCGAGGGCCATCTCGACAACGCGGCCGATACCATGTCTGTAAATGTCAGTAAAACTCATGAGCGTAGAAGTGAAAAACTTACCGATCGACGTCGTGCATGCTAAAAGCCTTGATGCCATGCTCACGGAGAATCTTCTTCTCGCCAATATCAACAGATCGAAGACCAATGTAAACCAGTTTCTTGACGCTCAAGCGCATGTCATCCTCGAGCCAGCCAAAGTACTCCTCGTTATCCTCCTTAGCAAGGCCAGTCAAGAAAGCAACAGGCATGCCGTGAATGTTTCCGCTGTCACTGCTCTCAGGAGTGTTGATGTCCGCATGCGCATCAACCCAGATAACAGCAATCTCACGGTTCAACCTCTCCCGCGTAGCCTTGGCAGTACCAGCAATAGTACCGATAGCAATGCTGTGATCACCACCGAGGGTAAGGGTCATACGGCCCTCGCGCGAGTGCTCGTATGTGTGCGATGCGATCTTGCGGGTGACGGCGGAGGCGTGACGGGGCTTCTTCATGCCGCGGTAGTCAGGGTCAGACTCGGGCACAAGGTCCTCGAACTGCTGGACGGTCTCATCGCCAAAGAGCTTGTAGCCGAGCTCGTCGCGGATCTCGGTGAGGAGGCCGGACTCGATGAGGGCGGCGGGACCGATGTCGACGCCGGCTTTGGGCTGGCCGCCGGAGAAACCGACGGCGACGATGCCGACTTCATCGGGCTTGGAGAGGAAGCGGCTGTTGACGAGACCGGTGTTCATGATGGGCGGAATGTGGGGGGTGACGTAGTGATAAGATAAGAGGAAGTGAAGTAAAGATAAGAAGTGAAGACAAGTTGGAGAAGAGATGAAAATGGGTTGGGTTGGGTAGAGTTTGAGAGAAGATTGAGCAGAAAGAGATGGGAAGAAGCCTCCATTTGTATTCGGAGGTCAATGACATTTTCTCATCCTCTCTCGGCCTCTCTGAACCCTCTCATGGCTGCAATCGGCCGGCGGCACAGACACACGTTTCTCCTCTGTACCTCTCCCCAAGACAATTGAATATGGATAAGGTAATAGCGTCGGTTTCGGGCGGGCGCGGGGGTTTCTCTTACACTCTCCAAAGGTTATCAACAGCCTGCCACTGGCACATGTCAAGGGTCATAAGACAGCCCTTTCGAGTCTAGACGAGATACTTGACAGATACAGATGCTGTGATTCTGTTGGTCCCGCTCATCTGGGTTTCTCTTACGCACATCTTCTCCAGTTTTTCCGCTCGCTATGTGTCCATTCAATTCCCGCCTGCTCCAAAATCCCCGATTCCCCAATTCGAACAGGTCTCCTCCACTTTGAGTCAAGTGCCGACGATATATATCCTATGTTTTTCGCCTTGTCCAATACCTCTACATCTTCTCATCAGACATTATATTTCACTCACATTGTCTCTGATGTCTTTTGCCGCCGGCCATGGACGTGGGATGCACCGCTTACAGCCGTAGATAGCCTCTATTGATCTTATGTAATGTTAGGTAATACCTCTGGCGCATGCCATGGTCGCGGTCGGCACTCTTTACCCCTAAGTTACTAGCTGTGTTTTCGACGGAGGAGTCGGCGCATAAGAGTCGCGGGTCTGCCTTCCCCTAAGTTACTAGCTGTCTCTGCAACTTTCCCCTAAGTTACTAGCTTTCTGGAGTTTGTGTCTTGTCTCTGTTTTTGCGTCCCACGCTCCAGCGCCCGCAAGACTTTGCTCATGGTTGGGGCTTGTTATCAAAGACCCAGAAATGGACCGACATGACCCGGCTGAGATGGAACTTTTTACGCAAGTACAACAAAGGTCGTAGACCGATTTTACGCCGACGACCAATGTTCGAGAGGACACGATGCTGTCAACGGTCACCGAGTGAGGCCGGTTTATTTCCTTGAGCTGGGGAAGCTCCAGAGCCGCACCTTTTACCCCACCACTAACAATTCTCACTGAAGCCGACGATGATCTCGACGCTTCGTGCTCGACAGACCGCAGCTCGCACATTCAGTAAAACCACGAAAATTCAGGCGAAGGGATTGCCCGGCCTTGGCGACACAGAAAAGATCCTCACATGACGGAACGCGGATCTCGAGACGGATACGGCAGGTCACAGAGGGATTTAATATTCTGGCAATTATTGGCGAAGTTGACAGATCACTCTGTTGGACAAATGAGCCGGATAAGCAGTTGGGGTAGGACAAAAGATCCGAGGTCATTCGCGATATTCTCCAGCCCAGGCGAACCAATGGACATGGTCACATCATGAACAGAGCAGTTGGTATGGAATGAAGTACTGACGTAGGCTGACTCAGTAGATCAGCTGACTATCCATATGGAAAATTCCATGACAGCTCGTATTCATGACATCGGGGTTTTTAGACTCTCGTTTGTTTCGGATGGGTTCTCCACTGGAAAAAGCTTAGCATCTCGGTACCCTGAGAGTATTGAAGATGGAGGAATGTATCGAATTGCTGGTTTTACGAGATGGAGTAGGGTTCACTGCCGGTATTCTTGTGCTATGAACCGGTAGCCCGTCTGAGGGTGAGTCGTGCCAAGCCGTCAGCTTCGAGGTTTGGTTCTATTTGTGATTCAGGCGCAAGATCCCGTAAATATGTCTCTGTTTGGCAGATCGGTGTTGCAAACAGTCACTTCAATGTTTGTCAACAAGATCAACTTGGTGTTGTTACAGTGAGATTGTGATAGCCAAACATGAAGCTGTGATCAACATTGACAAACAACGCTAGCAAATATCCTCCTGCAAAGGCACGCAAAACAAACAAACAGGCAAATTCGATACCCACTTGATCTCATCCAATATTCAATTCATCCCTGGATCTTTGGGATAGATCGCGTGCCCGGGAGCGGAGACTAGCAGCCACACCGTTCAGGGGCTCAATTCGAACCGCTGCATGCGCCGCCGGGAGGATGGGATAAGATCGATTCCATGCGGCTGAAATTAACAAACTATTTGGAGAAACATAAAAAGCTTGGCTATCGAAACGCCGTTGTGAGGCAGGCATTTAGTGCTGTGTACCTTGCAGCACGATAATCCGGTGGGACTTTGGATTGTGACTTGATTAATTGAAGCTAGAAGTGGACAGGCTCATTAATTACCTGTTTTTTTACGGTGAGGAATGATAATATTCATCGCCATGTTTATTATGTTTATTCTCCAAGTTGCAAGTTGATGACAGAATCCCTGTAGTTGTAATCAGAAACAGCTCTGACACGCGTCCCCTCATGGATCATGTCCCAATGAAACTGTGCAACTCGCATCAACCCGCCTTGTCCTCATCACAGGCGACGTTGCAAAAGAGGACACTGTCCTATCTGTCTCTCCCTTGAACATGTCTAACCGATACATACTCCAGCAATGAGATTGGCTGCTCTCTCTGAGACACCAAACACGTTTCCCGTCAGATCAATCACCTGTGCTATCAAAGCACCTGCTGTACAGAGAAACAGTGCCACCGTAGAATACAACCTGACGCGTGTAAAGCGTCTGATCGACCCCTGATTTATCCAAGTTTAATCCCAAGATGCAACAGATAATTGTGGATTTTTTCACCTTTTATAGCCTACAGCACCTGGCTCCCCTGTAGGCAAGAAAAAAATAAGAACCCCCCCGATGCAAAGACCCACAGAAACGTCCCCTACTCCAAAATCGCCCGCCCAAGCCCCTGAGCGTCTACTTGCATTCGCTAGCAGATTGCAGTGTAGGGGGAGGTATATACTGCCCGGCAGCTAAATTGGTTGATCCCACATTTTAGGTTGGGCTAGTCTGAAGCTGGAGCTGTTCCCTGCTTGCTATTTGAGATCGCACGCAAATTGATTGCTTGCAAGCTCCTTTCAATTCTAACTAAACTCCTCCCTCATTCCATTCCAGCGATTCATGTTCCTTTTTCTTCATTCTCCTTAAACCTCTCTCTCTTGTCTCTTCCACGACTAGAAAGAAAAAAAAAAGCCTCACTTCGACTCGCCGTGGATATCTTCTTCTTTCTTCGAGAAACCCCCTTTTATTTGACAATCCTTGTCTGTCCAGTCTCTTCCTACTGTGCAACCTTTAAACCCACCCTCCCCACGTTTGAACACACTGCAGATATACCCAAAACGAACGACTTTGGCATCTTCCGTTCCCAAACGGCCATACTCACAGATCGATTAATCATGTGTTGAAAAGAGCGACTGCTTTTTATCATCTTCGACGTTTTCTTCCTTTTTCTTCGTCGCTAGTCTCACAAAAAACGTCACCGTCTTCCTGCCCCGCGATCGACATCTTCTTTCCACTGCCGCATTCGTCATCCCTTTCGCTCTCTCGAAAAAAACCCTGCGCATTTCGATTTCTGTCGCTGGCGTCAGATTTCTGCGCCGTAATCGGCTACGATAATTTCCTGTCGGGTAGCTCGAATACCGACGACATGCCCAAGATGCTTGCGCCTGGGTTCAGGACACGGCGCAGCTCCTCCTTCATTCGATTCGGTGCCCTCACTGCCCTCGTTCTCTTTGCGTTTTGGTCCTTTAGCAGTCGCTCTCCGGCGCCGTCTCTGCTGCCGATACATAAATCACAACCTGCTGCTGCCGATGGCGCTGATTCTTTTCCTGTGAAAGCAGCGGAGCAACATGTATGTTTCTAGCCTGCGAGCTTGGTGACACGTGCTAACTTGGGAAGTTCTCAAACAAACCCGTGCAGGGCGCTCATCCGATTGACAAGCTCATCAACGATGGAGGAAAACGATACAAAGATATCCTCTCCAGAGAATCGCATACCCTCGAAGAAGCAGCCCAAGCGTACCGTAAACGTCGTGGTCGTCATCCCCCGCCAGGTTTCGACAAATGGTGGGATTTCGCCAAGCAGAACAACGCCATCGTGGTGGAGGAGTTCTGGGATCAGGTTTATCATGATATTGACCCGTTTTGGGGCGTTCCTCAACCCATCATCCGAAAAGAGGCGTACAGCTTTGAGATGTCGATCCACATTCGCAACGGTAAAGCTAATTCAACGAGTGATTGGTTCTGGACGCTCATTTGGCTTGATATGATTCGTTCTATTGAACATATGGTTCCTGATCTAGATATGCCGTTGAATGCAATGGATGAGCCCCGTCTTGTGGTGCCGTGGGAGGATATTGATGGGTACATGACCAAAGGCGCTGCGTCGCGAAGTCTATGGCCTGCGAAGGAGGTTGTCTCGGAGTTTCAGAAGCTCCCTACTGCTGGGCGACATGATAGGGACGTCAGAATTCCTTTCAAGCGATGGGAAAAGACCAGTACGTTAATCAGAGACTTTCATGTTGACGTTTGCTAACAGCCACAGGCCCATACTGGCCAATTGCCCGTCGAGGATGTCCCCCAGACAGTCCAGCCCGCCAAGCACCTCTAAAAGAGTCCTTCAACCATCCCCCCGAAATCGACATCTCCAACGCCGAGAAGCACTCTTTCGCAGGCTACGTCTCCAACTTTACACTATCGAGCGAAATCTGCCACCAACCCGACCTTCAAGGCCTAAACGGTCTTCTGATCAATCCCATCTCAGTGTCTTCCACAAAAGTCCTGTTTCCTATGTTTGGCGGCTCGAAACTCGCTATCAATAATGAGATTCTGCTCCCGCCGCCGATTTACTGGAAAGGAGAGGATCGCTTCACAGGCGGTGAGGATAATGATGTGGAGTGGCAGAATAAGGGAAACACCGTGGTCTGGCGTGGTGTCGCGACTGGCGGCAAGAATAAGCCTGAGAATTGGCGCGGTTTTCACCGTCATC